TGCCGCGGCCACCCACCGCCTTCCGCAGCCGGGCCACGCCGTCCTCCGTGCGGCTGAGGCGGGCGTGCAGCGCGCCCAGGGCCTCCTGCAGCTGCTGGATGCTGCGCTCGGCGTCCTGAAGCCTGCGGCGCACCGTGTCGTTCAGGGCTCTCCAGAGGCGCGAGCCGTCCTCGGGGGGCAGAGCGCCTCCCTGCGCGCTCTGCAGGCACACGTCCTGCACCCCCTGCACCTGCTCCTTCAGGCGCTGCAGCTCCGCCAGGACGCGGGCGCCGTCCCAGCCGGGCGCCTCGGGCAGCGCCGAGCCCTCGCTGCCGTTGGCCGCCTGCAGGAGGACGCTGTCCAGCCTGTCCTCCAGGGAGTGGATTTTCTGGTCCAGGAGCTGCCGCAAGCCCCCGACCTCGCCGTCGATGGCCCCGCGCAGGGTCTCCTCGACGTAGACGCAGTGCTCCTCCGCGTTCTTCTCCGTCACGTTGATCCTGGCGTCCAGCTCCTCCCACCTGGCGTCGAAGTCCACGCCCACCTCGGGGGCCGCCAGGCGGTCCAACTCGTTGTCCAGCCGCCCGTTCAGCATCCTGGTGGCCTCGGCCACGCGCTCGATCTTCTGGTCCAGCGTCTGGATCTGCGGGCCCCAGTCGCCGCTCCTTGCCCCGTCGCAGCAGCCCGGCCGGGCCGCGGGGTCCTGCAGCCGGGCGCGGAGCTCGCTGAGGTCCTTCCTCAGGCTGGCCTCCTTCTCCGAGAGGAGCTCCAGGACGCCCAGGTAGCTGCTGCCGTAGTCGTCGCACTGCTGCTGCAGCCCCACCAGCTTGTACTCGCAGGTGTCCTTGAGGTCGCCCAGCTTCCGGTCCACGCCCTCCAGCAGCTCCTCGCGCAGCGCCGCCAGCCTGCTGTCCACGTAGGCCTGCAGCAGCTCGGGGGCGCTCATGGTGGCCGTGGGGCCCTGGGCCGCCTCCTGCAGCTGGCGCAGCTGCCCCTCGTAGCCCTTCACCTTCCCGTCCAGCTCCTCCAGCTTGTCGCTCTTGGTCCTCAGGGTGTCCTTGACCTCGGCCAGCTCCGACTTGATGTCCTTCATGCCGGACTCCTTGCCGTGCGGGCCGGGGGGCGGGGCCGCCTGCGTGTCCCCGGGGCCCGCGTGTCCCGGCGCAGGCAGCAGGTGCGGGCCCCCGAGCCTGCTGCCGAGCGCCTTGCCGGCGTCGTCCTGCACGGAGCGCTTGAGGTGCTCGCTGACGCCCGCCAAGGAGGCCTGCAGGTCCAGCACCGTCCTGGTGAGGCGCAGGACGCTCTCCTCCAGGACCTGGATCTTCTGCTCCTGCAGCTGCTGCGGGCCCTGCTCCGGCTCTGCGCGCTGCCGTGGGTCCGCAGCTCCAGTTGGGGGCAGAGGGGCCTTGGGCTGGGAGACCTGGCTGGGTTCGTCGTTATCTGTCAGAAAGGAAAAGTCGGACACAGTGAGTGAGGCTTGGATTCCTTCTGCCGGCATCAGCCAGAACGAGAGAGTGGGCCCTAACCGTGCACCTAGGTGGGGGCCCCACCCCTGTGACCCCAGCACTCAGGAGGCTGAGGCAGGAGAATCGCCATGGATTAGAGGCCAGCCCGGGCTACACGGTGAGTTTAGTGCCAGCCTGGACAACATAGTGAGACCCTGTCTCAAAGGCCCAGGAGAGAGAGGGCAGGTTTGTGCCGCACGACCGGTGGCCTGAGTGGGGAAACGCGTCCTCTCCCGCTCGGCGAGTGTGCCGCCCCGGCCAGTGGGCTGCAGCCCCTCCTCAGTGGCTGATGATCTCTGGAGACCACGCAAAGCCACGCTGGTGACAGCTCTGTTGCTGGAAGGCGCCAATCACGTCGGCCACGGCCACGGCGGATTTGGAAGCATCTTCGCAACAACTCCTGAGCACTCTCCGCTACCCTCCCTAGGAAAGGGCCCATCCATGTCCACGTCGTTTCCGGTGAGGTGGGCGGAGACACTAAAGCTGGGGACAGGGCCGGCCGCGGGTGTCTCCCACAGCGCAGCCCTGGGCCCGGGGGAAGGGCTTGCGTCCACTTCTGGGAATCCCAGTTGAGCACTGCCCCCCCCCACACGTGAAAGAAAGAGAAAACGATCACCAGGACGCGTGACTCAGAAGGCGGACGCCAACTGAGTCACAGAAGCCTCGGCGGAGCGAAAGGGAGTCAGGAGAGGCCGCGGCGACGCGGGCCAGGGCCGGGGGAGGGCTGCGCCGGCGCCTGGGCAGGGCCGGGCACAGCCGCCCGAGCAGAGGGCCAGGCCGCGCGACACAGGCGCCAGCAAGGGCAGTGCACAGCGCGGCGAGCGCCCGAGGAGTCAGGAGGGTGCGGACATCTGAATTTCGGGTTCCTTGAGTCTCCCCTCTCTAAGCTTCTGCCAGGTGTTTTGGGTTTCGGGGTTCGATTCGGTTCTGTGACGGGGTCTTGCTCGTTGTGTAGCTCAGGTTGGCCTCAGAGTCACGGCCCATCCTCCTGCCTCAGCCTCGCAAGTGCGGTTATCTCAGGCCCGCACAAGATCGTTAACAGCAGACATCACCCGTTCAGATCAAAGCCGGAGGCAGGTGTGGCGGCCCAGCACCCGTAATCCCGCACTGCGGGGGCTGCGGGGGAGGGTCACAAGTGGACACCCAGCCTGGACATCAGCGACTTCACAGGAGCCTGTCCCAAGACATATGAAGGACTGGGCCACGGCTCAGCGGGAAAGCCCGAGGCTCAATCCCCAGCACTGCCGGACTAAAACTCTTCATCTCACATTTCAGGGAACACGTGAATAAAGGGTGAAAAGTCTAACTTGGGGCTCAGTTTTGCAGACAGCGCGTCCCAAACAGAATAAGAGTTATTTTATTTATCTGTTTTTAGAAAGACATTTTTAATTCCTCTAAACTCAGATTTATGGGTCTTGCGGATGAAGTATTAAACGTAACAATACATTCGATGGTCTATTTCAAGACAGGTCTCACTCTGTAGTTCAGGCTGGCTTTGAACTATGTAGCCTAGACTCACCTCAAACTCTTGGTGATCCCCCTGCCTCAGCCTCCCAAGTGCTGGGACTACTACGCATGCGCCACCACGCCCGCACCCAGTGGTTTTCCTTTTCTTTCCAGATACTGGGGTGGAACCCACGGCCCTGCCCACGGGGGTTTCTCTTCTCCCCTGGAAGGCCACAGCCCACGGGGCAGCAGGGAACAGCGGGGCAACGACGTTACCTGTGGCCTTCTTCACACTGCTGCGCGGCCTCGAGGGTAAGGGGCGCGGGCCCTTGGCAGCGTCCCGGGGGCCCTCCTGGCAGTCCGGGCCACGGAACCCGGGGCAGCATCTCCACTCCAGCTGGGTCACTGTCTTGTACCTGGTCACGTACCTGGGCCTGAAGTTCACGCGGTACCTGTGACAGGGGACAGGGTCTCCTCAGGTTCTGCTGCCAGCTACCTGGCCTGGCCCCCGGCACCGCTCGGGGGGAAGAGACCCTCGCTGGGGGCCCCGTCCCTCCTGAAGCAGGCCACCAGCCCTGGGGACCAGCCAAGGTGACTATCTCAGGTGCCGGCGCCCACCTTCCCGTGACGTCTGCGAGATGGCCCCGAGGGTCGGACCTGTGACCTCTCCGCACTGGCGGCCACGCTGAGGGGGCCTCCTGCTCCGGGACAGCGGGGTAACCGCCAGCAGGGCGCCGTGCTCACCCTCCCACTGCCCCTCCACCGGTGTCCCTGCTGGGCAGACGTGCCAGGACCAGGCGCAGCACTCGGGCCTCAGTGGGGAAAGTGCCCCGGAGAAAAGCGAGAGGAGGCCGGGAAGGAAAGAGGCGGGGCTCGGGGCCAGCACCCCTCCCCAGCCCTGCACGCCCCTTCCTGCCTCCCTGCGCCCAGCCAGGCCCCGCCCAGAGCCTGGCGATGGTCACACGTAGCACAGTTTATTACAGCGGAAGACGCAGCGCCATAGATGCCCTTCAAAATACACTGTCATGGCTCGTGTCCCCCAACGCCTCACGCAGGCATGGGCGGCTTCTACAGCTTGTGATTGATGCGTGGTCCAACGCTGGGATGATGGGTGTGAGGGCTGCTCCATGGGGTGGGCAGCCTGCATGCAGTGTGAGGGAGGGAAAGGCCTTGCTCTCGCTGCTCCTCCCGCCTTTGCTGTGTTCTGCCGTCATGAACTGCTGCCCTCTGCCGTGTGCCACCCTGCCTTGGAGCCAGCCGAGTATGGACTGAAGCCTCTGCCAGCTGTGAGCTAAATAAACCTTTCCTTCCTTAACCTTGGGTGTGGGGTGTTTTGTCTCAGCAGCGAGCGAGCAGTAATGGAGACCCGCCCCTCGCTTCGAGCACACTGATCCCACCCTTCTCCTCACTGTGCTGCCTCTGTCCTGAGGCGGGGTCTCACACGGCGCTCAGTCTGGACTCAAACTCACGGCGATCCTCCCGCCTCAGCCCGAGCCTCCGCGTGAGTACCGGGATCGCGGGTGTGCGCCACCACGCCCGGCTCCTGCCGCTTTCTGAAGCGGCTCTGGAATCCTCTCTCCTGAACGTCTTTACGAGGTGTGATCAGAAACACAGTGAATGCTGCTGCAGAAAGGCAGCTCACAAAAACACGGCGCCCGTCCTCGTCCACCTCCTCCGCCCGAAGCCTCTGCTCCCGCTCACTGCCGGACGCGAAGGAGAAACACTGACTGATTCGGGACACCGAGGCAGTGGCCACCGCGCCCTGAGGGTAGGCGTGTCTGAAGCGGGGGCAGGGGTGGAGGGGTTCACTGCGCCCCGCCAACAGGCGTCTTTACTGTTGCATTTTTAAAAGGAAGCGTTCGCCCTCAGTGACGCCACACATGTCCCTGCCACAGCCTCGGCCCGGGTAAGGGGCGCCCTGAGCCCACAGCAGAGGGGCACGCAGGTCCTGGCCCGCCCAGACGAGTTCCCAAGGGCGCGGGCAGCCGTCACGTTCACCGTGAGGAGCGTGCGGCCTCAGAGCAGCCCTGCCCCTCCCCTGAACCCCGTGGCTCGGGCCTGCAGCTGCCAGCCGGGGACAGACGGCCCATGGCCCCGGGGGCATCGGGAGCGGGCGGAGGGCTGTCCAGGGAGGGAAGGAGCCAAGTGGGGCTCCCAGCCCCTCCTCCACCCAGGCACTGAGGGAGATGCCCCGCTGGGCGCCCCTAAAAGAGCCAGCAGCAGCCAGCGCCCTGATCCACACCTGTGATCCCAGTGCTCAGGAGGCTGAGGCAGGAGGACTGCAAGCTGAAGCCCAACCCAAAGAACTTATCAACTTAGCGGCCGCTGTCTCAAATATAAAATAAAAAAGGGCTGGGATGCGGCTCGGTGCACAGGCGCTGGGTTCCACCCTCAGCTGCAAAGACTCGAGTCTGGAGCTGGTGCGGGAGGCAAGGGCGTGTCTGAAGGCTAGCGCCGCAGACACCAGCGCTTCCTCCCCTACCCCACGAGGAGACCACGGCGGATCGGACCTGCCCAGGACGGTGCCTGGGACTGAACCCCACAGAGCTCTGAGCACTGAGTCACTGCGGCCACAGCAAGGGCACGACCAGGGACGGTGGCCAGGGCAGGTCAGGCTGCAGCCCTGCCCTCCAAGCCCGGTCGCCATGGCGACAGCACAGCCCCTCCCACACACACACACACACACACTCGGCCCTCTTGGGGTGCAGCCAGGGATGCAGGCCTGGTCCAAGGCAGCTCTGAGGCTCAGGCTCCGACCGTGGGGAGCGGGAGGCGGCGGGAAAGTGACTCCGTCCGAGGGCCCCAAGACTGCAAGGGTTCCTGTGACAGCCGTGGATACAAAGCACTGCCTGAGCCGGGAGGGGTGGGACGCACCTGTGACCCCAGCACTGGGAGGCTGAGGCAGGAGGGTTCATGAGTCCGAGCCCAGCCTGAGCAGTTTCACAAAACCCTTCTCAAAATAAGAAGTGAAAATTGGAACGTGTGCCCTGGGCGCCCCAAGCCTCTCCCCCAGGGCCCTCTGCACTAAGCTGCGTCTCCAGCCCTCTGTGCACCAGGCTTCATCAGTCACTCAGATGCGCAAGCTGGGCTCAAACGTGTGCTCCTTCTGCCTCGGCCTCCCAGAGCGCACTCCTACACCAGCCTTGACACTCCCCTCATTTTTTGGCTGTGCAGAAGCTTTTTAATAAGATGAGATCCCAGTTGTTGACTCTGATAGTTCCTGTGCGGTCAGGGTGTTGTTCGTAAGTCTTTGCTACACCCATGTCTTCAAGAGAGCAACTTCCTTCGTCTGTTTTGTTGTTGTTCTGGGGTTTTTTTTGAGACAGGGTCTCACCACGCAGTGCAGACTGGCCTTGAAGTCACTTTGTAGTCCAGGCTGGCCTCGAACTCATGGCAATCCTCCTGCCTCAGCTTCCCGAGTGCTGGGATTGCAGGTGTGCATCACCACACCTGGGGAAACATCCTTGTTGCTAAAAAAAGTGTCTTCCCTATTGCAGGTAGTAATGGAAAATTATTAGTCACTAAGTGGATCAGTAATTGATTAGTCAAACAGTGATGTGACATTATGCCTACTTTGTCAAGTGTTTGGGGAGCCAGTGTCCACATTAAACCCCCGGTGCCCCAGGGGTCTGACTGCAAGCAGATGTGAGTCTTGAGTCCTCCCAGAACCACACTCAGCCCCAGGGCCCCGGGGTGGAGACCAGATGACCCCTAGAGGAATCACACCAGGGCACCCAGGGCTGTGCTGTCCAGGAAGGCGGCTGTGGTCACATGTGCCTATTTAAACTCACTCATTAAATGAAATGAAACAGCCGAGCATGGTGCCACATGCCTGTAATACCAGCACTTGGGAGGCTGAGGCAGGAAAGTTTCAAAGTGGAGCCCAGCCTGGGCAACTTAGGGAGCTCCTACGGTTAGCCACCTGCTCTGTGTCACCAGAGGAGCTGCAAAGTCTGGCCTCAGCAATCTGATGTGCAAACAGATGGGGCAGCAGGCAGCCTTCTAGGGGCTGCTTGTGACAACTGTCTGGTTATTCTGTGTTTGGGTCAGTCTTTTCTTTAACCATCAATGGATGACTAAATAAACAAGTTCTTTGTATTTATTGATACTTTGCCAAAAGCAAATGCAGTCAGGCAGTAGAGGCCGCAAAGCCCGAAGCTGGAAGTGATCTGAGAACTCACTGAAGGAAAAGTGGCTTTGCCGCTGTGGAGAGGACACGCCCCACCCAAACCCACTGCGTCCTCCTGGCACGCTCCAGCCGGCTGAAACCTTGAGCGCAGGCCAGGTGTGGTGGCGCACGCCTGCAGAGCCAGCACTCAGGAGGCTGAGGCAGGAGAATCCCCACTAAGTTCAAGGACTGCCTGAACTATGAGGAAAGGCCCTGTCTCAAAAACTCCAAGGCACAAGCCCCAGATCAGGACTTCGCACCTCTTCCTGCCGCTTCACACATTTTCATTGGATGTCTGCACGGGGCCCAAGAGCAAAACCGAAGAGAACCGAAGAACCCTTAGCAAACAAATGGGCGCTATTTCGCTCGGCTTTTTACGAGACTGCATCTGACTCTTACAAGCCAGAACGCCGGGCAAACAGATGTTTCTCTGAAACGCACAGCGCATCTAGTGCAAGCCAGATCCCCGGCCCTGATGGAAGTCCTGTCACAGCACCGCGTTCTACGCGTCTAGAAAACGTCCTGGCCCGCGGCCACACGTTCGCCCGTTTCCGCCGTGAGCCCCTCTGGCAGGGCCCGACCGGCTCCGAGGCCGCGTCCCCCGCGGGCCCCTCCCGCGGCCGGGCCAG